GGTTATGTTACGTAAGACGTCCAAAGAATACTGAATACAAACCCCAGTACACCACAAAAACTATTAAGCATGGAGGGTGTCGTGTAATGGTCTGTGCCTGCTTCTCCTACTATGGAGTAGGTCCAATACATTGGATAACAAGAAGGAACGTGCGAGTCGCTTCTGGGGACGCGACTCTACTTATACCCGTACTCAGTCAGCATAAACATTTTTGAGGATATGATTTTTTAGAATTTTATAATTAAAAAAATTTACATTTTTTTGCTACATCTGTTATCTTCATCTACATATATTATGTATATTCTACATCTAACATGTAGATTACACATGTACCATTTAGATTCTACATCTCCTCCGCTAGGGGTTGCTCGCGCACTGAACGCGGCAGAGTGTGCGAGCGAGAAGGAAAATTAGTTGCGTTGTCGTTGGCAGAAGGCGGCAGGGGAAGCGACTGAAATTTAATTTCTTCATTTTGGCTATAATTTTGATCCGATCTAATTCAGATTCGGCAGTCTGGTAGATATGGGCATTCTCTACGATACTGCGTTTTTAGTTTTATCGTATCTTTAAAAATGTGCCTGCCACAGATTTTCGTTCTTTGTTTGGGCAGAAGGGGGCGGGGCGAAATTTTGAAATACACTTGTAGCAGTGTGATATCACATGAGTCTGGAAACCAAATTTGGTTGCCCTAGCTCTTATAGTCTCTGAGATCGAAGCGCTCAACAAGACGGACAGACGGACAGACAGACAGACAGACAGACAGTCGGACAGACAGACATGGCTATATCGACTCGGCTATTGATGCTGATCAAGAATATATATACTTTATGGGGTCGGAAACTTTTCCTTCTCTGCGTTACACACATCCACTTTTACCACAAATCTAATATACCCCTTAACTCTTTTTTGAGTACGGGTAGAAAAATCTATTATAAAATTTTCCTTCTCTGCGTTACACACATCCACTTTTACCACAAATCTAATATACCCCTTAACTTTTTTTTGAGTACGGGTATAAAAACAGAGACAGTAATGCTTCCCTTTGCAGAATATAAAATGCCGCTCGTATGGGTCTTTGAACAGGACAATGACCCCAAACACACCAGCAAGAAAGCAAAGGAATGGTTCTAGGCAAACTCTGTGAATGTTTTGGAGTGGCCTGCTCAGTCGCCTGACCTGAATCCTATCGAAAATCTGAGGTCCCACGTCAAGCAGGCAGTTGCTGCTTCCAAGCCAACCACTATCGGATCACTTTGGGAAGAAATTAAAGAGTCCTGGTCCAAAATTCCCCTAAAACGATGCCAGGACTTAGTGTATTCCATGCCAAGACGCTGCGCAGCTATTATTGCCAATAAAGGACACTTTACTAAATATTAAATTATGCATACAGATTTAGTATAGTTTAAAATGGTTAACTAATTAATTCGTTACATATTGTTTATTATTTTAATTTTAAATCAATTTTTTAAAAGTGGTGCTATTTTTTTTCGCCTAGTTTTATGAATTTCAATACAGTTTAAGGAACTGTATTAAAAATAAAAATTAAAAACTGTATTAAAATCTTTACAAAAAAATATGATTTTTTTTTTGTATTCCCAGGTGTTTTAGAGTCTCCCATTTCTAAAAATGTGCTTAAAGTTTCCTTTAAGCTAAAAATGTGAGTTTGGCAATTATTTAAAAATTGCTATTATTTTTTTCACAGCTGTATGTATATGTATCTTACTTTGCTCGGCTTACGACCGGTTTTTTTCATTCATGATATTACAGTAGGTTACACAAAATCCGTTCGATCTATTCCCCCCCCCCCCCCCTAATACATATTCATACTATGTCAATGTGTACATATGCAAGGTCGTACCAAAGACAATATATGTAAGTATAAGATACATAACGCCATACGAAATTTTTGCACACGAATTTTGTATGCTGGCTCTAGAGCTGGCTCCAGGCTCTCTTGAAATTTTTTAGAGAGAGAGAGAGCGCTCTAGAGCCAGCCGCTCTCTTGTATGCATACAGCATACGAAGGCACACGAAGTTGGTTCTATGCCGCTGCGACGGCCGAGCCGAGTCGTCGCGACGACTACTATGTGTGCACATGCATACGGTTTTTACAGCGCTGTTGAAAAATACCCTTCACTTTATAAGGGTAAGTTAATTTTGCAAGACGCTTACCACCCCAATATTAAACGAGAAGGAACGTGTGAGTCGCTTCTGGGGACGCCACTCTACTTATACCCGTACTCAGTCAGTATATACATTTTTGAGCTTATAATTTTTTTGAATTTTAGAATAAAAAAAAAATTTTACATTTTACATTTTTTTGCTACATCTGTTATCTACATCTACATATACTATGTATATTCTACATCTAACATGTAGATTACACATGTACCATTTAGATTCTACATCTCCTCCGCTAGGGGTTGCTCGTGCACTGAACGCGGCAGAGTGTGCGAGCGAGAAAGAGAATCAATGGTTAGTTTTCTTGTCGGAGGGGGCGGGGAAAGCAACAGAAAATTAATTTCTTCATTCTGGCTATAATTATAATACGATCTGATTCATATTTGGCAATCTGGTAGATATGGGCATTCTCTACGATACTGCGTTTTTAGTTTTATCGTTTCTTCAAAATAGTGCCTGCCACAGATTTTCGTTTTTTATGGAGGCGGAAGGATGCGGGGCAAAATTTTGAAATACATTTGTAGCAGTGTGATATCACATGAGTCTGGAAACCAAATTTGGTTACCCTAACTCTTATAGTTTCTGAGATCCAGGCGCTCAACAAGACGGACGGACGGACGGACGGACAGACAGACATGGCTATATCGACTCGGCTATTGATGCTGATCAAGAATATATATACTTTATGGGGTCGGAAACGTTTCCTTCTCTGCGTTACACACATCCACTTTTACCACAAATCTAATATACCCCTTAACTCTTTTTTGAGTACGGGTATAAAAACGGTTATATTGTATATATCCCTCCAACGATAATTTATTTTAAGATGGTATATTCGATAATAATGATCGGATATATGTACATATATAAAAATACATAATATATTTAATGCATGACTTCACATTGGAGTAATTGTCATTAGGGTATTCAGCGTGCGACGTATTCAACGACAGTAAATAAATTCGTTTCTCAACTCATAAAAAGGTATTCGTCTCGAAAATCGTCCGCTTCGCACAAGTACGCACACATACGCACTTGATGGTTCTGTGTGCACACAAGCAAACGGATTCTATTTTTAGATTTGTACGCTCTCAATTTGTGCGAGTGAGATGGCGCGAATTTCGTCGCATGACGAAAAATTGGCTTGCATATGACAATTGAAATGTATGACCGTTACGCATCTTATACTTATATTTTCTTTGGTCGTACCCAGGATTTTGCGAAGGGGAGAGGTCGAATCACATAAAATCACTTAAACGACACAAATATCCAATGTGTTTTTTACTAAAAAGAATGCTCAAGGAGGGGCTGCGACCTATGATTTTTTTCCCGTGCGATAGATTTAAAAATTATAAAATTTAGAATTAAAAAAAAAAACTACGATACATATTTGCGTAAAATTAAAACCATTTTATAGGCATCGATGCAAAACATGTACAAAAATTCGCATTCATATATGTATTGTCTCAACTTTCGCTGAAATCTGAGTTTGAATTGATTGGCGAAAAAATCACTTCCATATTTGTCCCGTGCGACTGGCTTGGTTTTTGGCAAAAATTTACCTTATCACTAGCTATAGGGCTAGTAAAGAATTGTGTCATAATGGTAACACAATTTTTAAAATCCGTCATATTTTGACTTTTCTACCAATTGCAATGCGTACGACTGTTCCGTTCGACTTAAGAGAACTGCCCATATGCATATACATATGTATATAAATGTGTAGCAAGTACAAATATGATGTACTCATCAGGGCGGGTCAAAAAACACGTAGTAAGCGTCCATCAGAATCGAAATGTTTGAAAAATTCTAGGAATCTTTTACCAAAAAACTATGTATCTAAAATTATTCCTATCCCCCGCTGAGAAGTATGAAAATTCCAGCTTGAGGTACACATGCTTAACACTCTAGTTTAAACACCTATGTATAACTTGGCGGACGGTTAAGTTAGACAGAAAAAGCTAATTTTATAGCAAAGATCAACATTTCAAATATCTGTTCATAAAACAACATTTTTCTCTGCATTTGCATTCCATCTTCTGTCTTTACATGACCGAACAAAAATACCCATGAAATCTGCTGTCCATAGATATAGTAGAGCTTTTTAAGAAAATCAGTCAAAAGTATTTTTCGTCACTGTGACATAGTCCAGCCCTCATGCGTTTTTGCTAACGTGAGACGTGCACCCATGTGCTCAATGACCAAACCCGTAGCTTTCTGAGACTTCTTTCATTCAAACAATATGTAATCAACAGTCTACAAACTATCACATCACTTACAGAGCTATATAAAATTTGTTTCACTATTTTTGATGATATTGAAGGTATCGTCTTGCCATCAACAATCGCCGAACATCCAATAAAAGACAAGTTTGTTTGCATACAAAACTTTGTTTTCGATTCCATTATACCTCCGGCCTTTAGTTTTTAGTCTAACTCTTAGGTCTCCCCTCTGGACCGAGCAATGATTTCTTTTACTCTCAAAAATCAAAATATTCAAGAACTGAAATAAACTTAGTGATGTTGAACTTTTTATAATAATTTGTTGTTTTTTTTTTTGTGATAATGGTTACACCGAGCACAACTATTTCTATGAACAGCAGTTTGTATGGGTATTTGTCTTAAGTCATACATAACAAGAAGATTAGGAATACTATGTATACATATGTAAAAATGTAGATTGATCTCTTGTAGATTGTTCGGGAATTCTCTCTTGCGTTGCAAACATAACAAATTAAACCACGTTTTTAAATGTTTTTTGCAGATATCACTACCGTTGGTATACCTTCAGTATCTAGATATTAATTAAAAATCCATTACCATATTATTGTTACTCTGGTTCAGTTGCAGGATTTTATTAGAACTATATAAACTATAACAAGGCAAGAAAAATACGTCAAGAGTTGACAGAAAACTATGTATTATGTATTCAATGTTTCTTTAAAAATCGATAGTACTATCGATACTATCGATGGTTGAAAAATGTCGACCAGCAACCATCCATTTCTAGGATAGTCAGGAAAATTTTTCCGTTCCGAAAATTTCCCAGTTATTTCACCATCCATCCGGGATGTTCCTAATTGGCACGTTTCTGTGCGGTATTTTTTCGATAATTGTCATATGCAACCATAAATATTTGACATTCACAACAAAAAATCGGAATTCACTACGAAAATGTAAACAATGACAGACAGGAAAATGGTAAAAATAACAACAAGTAGGATCTTATATGTCAGAATTGTCTCAGGCACGCAACTCGGTTTGAGGACTATCCTCAGAGATCCTCTCATTTATGAATGCTATGCAAAACTCATGCAGGATATTTCACACGCTTTGGGCTGCCAGCCTTCCGACTATTCTGTACTCAGAATAAGAGCCCAAAGTATGCGGCTATACAAAACTTAGCTTTAAAAACGCCTCGTTGTTTTCGGGTACATCTTTCTCCCAAAATGTCACAAACCGCTTCTCAACAAATATAGAATAAATATTTGTATTTAAAACATTGATTGGATTTAGTAAAAGCAGTCAGAATTGACCACGCTTCAGTGTTTTTAAAACAGATATCCATTCCAATAAATTCTCCTCGTCAATTTTAGCCTCATTAACTTCGTCCATGTCCAGCAACATGATAAGCTTGTGCAAAAATATGTTTTGCTGCTGAATCACATTCACATCCATTGCAATAATATTTAGATTCATTTTAATTGTAAGTGTGAACAAATTTTCAGCGCAAGCAATTGTGCGCATCAGCTGTATCTCATGGATGGTGGATGGTAGATGGTAGATGGTGGATGTTGTCAGTGTGAATCGGTGTTTCACAAACACTGGGCATAAGCCCAGTACTCAGAACCAAAAACTGTTTGCTAGCAAAAATATGTCATATTCTTCTAGCGGACAGTGGTGTGACCAGAGGTGTGCACTGCGTACCATACGGTTACACTGCTCAGACAGTTGCTTGTTTTTGTTTAAAGTTAATAAAAGGCATTTCTTCGGCGGGGGTCGCTCTTCCCCAGGCATATCCTGGGCTCCCCAATATTTTATTGGCAAGGTAATGTGTCTGACCATCAGCAGCAGCATATGGCGACGCCTCCCGTGACGACCACCGTGAAGACAAAATGTTTTGAAAACAATATTTGTTTTATATTTATAAATATAAATATAATACTGCAATGTTTGCTTCGTGTTTGCTGGCAAAAATATCTAATTGATATAGCATTTGAGGTGGGTAGAAACATACCAGCAATACAAGCAAATACTTCGGATACTTTTCTAGTATATAACGACCTTTTTTATACCCGTACTCAAAAAAGAGTTATGGGGTATATTAGATTTGTGGTAAAAGTGGATGTGTGTAACGCAGAGAAGGAAACGTTTTCGACCCAGCATCAGCATCAATAGCCGAGTCGATATAGCCATGTCTGTCTGTCTGTCTCGATGAGCGCCTAGATCTCAGAGACTATTAGAGCTAGGGCAACCAAATTTGGTTTCCAGACTCATCTGATATCACACTGCTACACGTCCTTCGTGGTGGCGGAAGGGGGTATGGCGAAATTTGGAAATACACTTGTAGCAGTGTGATATCACTGCAGTCTGGATACTACACTTGGTTGCCCTAGCTCTTATAGTCTCTGAAATCAAGGCGCTCATCAAGATAGACAGACAGAAATCCACTTTTACCACAAATACAATATACCCCTTAACTCTTCTTGAGTAAGGGTATAAAAAACTGAGTTTTGCGCAAAACGCAATAACTTAATAACTCAACCGTAGTGTAAACAGGCTATAACATACATACTCTGCGCATATGACATATATTTAATATAAATTCCTCGATTCCGAGCATTCCAGTCCAGCCACATTTATCGATCGCCACAACGCCTTAACCCTTCTCCATTTTGTGAAGGGCAACCCCTTCTTAACCAACACCACCTACCTCAACACCCTCACCTATCACAACTATCATCTTTTATACATATTTTCTTTACTATTAGTTTTATAATAATATTATTATTAGTCCTAAGCCATCACCATTAAATAGCCATTTAAATTCAAATAGAGCCTAGCCTTTATTGTGAGACCGTAGGCAACATAGGCATTAGTGGGGGCTAAGAACCCTCACCAGAACCGTCACCGGAACCAGCGCCGAAACCACCACCGCGAGCGAAGAGAAAGAGAAGAGAAAGCGCCTAGCCTTTATTGTGAGACCGTAGGAAACATAGGCATTATTGGGGGCTAAAACCAGCACAAGAACCCTCACCAGAACCATCACCGGAACCAGCGACGGAACCACCACCGCAAGCGAAGAGAAAGAGAGCAATAGCAACGACAACGACACAGAAAGAGAGCCGAACCACCTGCCCACCCACATCACCGAGCTTGGACCGCTGCTCACGCCGTAGCGCAAGTGCACGCAACGATGAGTAGGGGAGAAACGCGCAGACTCTCAGCCGCAAGCCCGACCGAAAGAACTCCCACCCACCCACAGAGCCGAGTTCGGACCGCTGCTCACGCCGTAGCGCAAGCGTAGGCAACGATGAGTAGAAGAAGGCAAGGAAACAACGAGGAACCAACGCAAGGAGAACAGTAGCGGATGCCACGGCATCCACGAACTGGTCTTCCCTCTCCCTCTTGCCTACCCTCCTTCATTCCGGGGACGCCAGGTGAGTGAGACGGTACGCAGATGCCACTGTCTTCACGAGCCGGGCTCTTTCCCCTTCCTCTTACCTATCCTCCTCCATACCCAGGTACAGCCAGCACCTCGTGCTCTGTCCCCGCACCCAAGCGCTGCGTGGCGTCCCACGGGGCGTGCCCTATGCCCATATCGACCAAGCGGTCTTCCACCACTATCCATTATCCTGGGCCAGCGCCGCCCCACGTCGCGCCCTGCCCAGGCGGCACCTCGCCCCGCCTATATGCCTCCCCGACCCCGTGTCTATGGTCTTTAATAAAAATTTTGCTGTATTGAAGGCCGGGCCCTGGACAGACTGAGAGGCTGTACCTTGGCTGGGAAACTTCCTTACAAGTTTCCAAATAAATTACTAGCGACCATGACACGGCGCATTTTCAGTTATTATTTTGCCTTTTACATTGCCAATTGTCAAATTGGTAAGGCAGGGTTTTTTTTTGTTCGGGAATTAGAGGTGACACAATTCCAAAAACTATCGGCAACGTCAGCGATGCTGGCACTCCTCCAAATATAATAAATTACAAAAACTTAAATTCGTCTTACAATTTCCAAACAAACACAAGGACACAACAAGAAATAAATTGAACTGTCCACGATTCATAATTAAGCTTTTTTCGTCATCCTTTTTTTATGTTTTCGGTTTTCCTTCGATATTTCTTCCGATAGTTTTCCAGCGCCCGATCCGCAGTTATATTCTTGACTGCAACTTTCGGTAATGCATACGGCTACTAGGTTTATCTGTATTTTGTCGATCCAAACCGACAAATAAAGTAAACTATCGCCCATTCCAACCAGCTATCGAAGATATAAATACCATTCCGTCCGCCTTCCATCCGCAAATAACACAGTTCTGCTCACGACTGCGTCAAAGAGGTAAACGGAGGAGCACCGCACTAACAATATTTCCAAAATATTGCCACCACCAGTGTGACCGTTCCTCTCCTCAGCCAGTCACAATATAAAGTCACTCATTGCTTAAGAACTCTCACCTTAAGGTAATCTCAAACAATCCGAGTCGATCTGATTATTGCATTCCAACTGGCTCGAGGCATTTCTCCTGCCAGCCTTCCATAAGTGACTCATATTTCCGGACAATTAATTATTTCCTGGCGTGTCCGTGTTAATTCTACTCAGATCAGTCATCTGTCCCTCCAAGACTTCCAAAACCGATTTTCTGTGCGGGTGTAAGTTTGTAATATGCCAATAGGCCACAAGGACAGCAACAAGCATTTGCCTCTGACCTCTTCAAGCCGTTTACGCACCTCTTTCGTCTCCGGAACTACGCCGACACAAAAAATCAAGTCACCCTTGACTCCGAGAGAGCAAGTAGTAGCCCTGCAGCAAGGACCAAATCGGTTCTATTTCCTTCTCCCGGGACCCTCAAGGTTCGAGCTCTGACGCAAAAAGATTCGAAAGGCACTTTCGTCAGTAGCCCCGTCAGAACTCGCCACTGCACCACAATGGCTCAATCCGCCACCTCTGTCGCTCGGACCAAATTGGTCGCCGCCATTTTTGAAGAACTGGGTTGCTCACAGGCTTCAAGGTGTTAGAGCCAGGTCATTATCCGCGGATATCCGGACGCGGCGAGGTCGTCGCGGAGAGTGCCGAATGGGAGGCACGGATCAGCCGAGGAGAGTGGGACAATGGGATCGGGCTGGCAGCGACTGGACGCATCCCCAAATATGGTCATAAAATCACGCCACTGTCCGGGTCCCGTTGCGAAGCTAGTGGAACCCAAAGGACCGGCCGATGAAAAATACGGGCCGCGTGGGAGAACCGTTAGCCGAGGCCTATATATTGGGGCTGGCGGTGGTGATGCGGTCTCTTCCAACGCGAGCAATAAAAGTGAACGGTCAAGTGTCCGAGTGAATACATTAAGGCGAGCGAGACAAAGAGAGCGTTCGTTCTCTTTCGTAGTGACCAGACGTGTTTTTGTTTTGCGCTCCGCACTTTCCTTTTGTTTAACTTAAACAGCCGGTGTTTTTATCTATAATTTAACTCTCTAACTAACTTACATTAAAATCATACTTTTACCGCGGGTGCATGCCTGATAATTGTGTAAAAATACAACTTATTTAATAAATTTTGTGCGTCGGTTAGTCGTGTGTTTGTGTTGTTGCTTTTCGTAAGTACGCCCTCTCATTATATTTAGCCGCTCTTTGTCGTAGTTATTGCCATCTATCACTCTCTCTATCACCTAACTCTCAATAACTGTTCTTTCACTCTCGCTCTTGTAACT